TACACAGCTTTGAAATACAGATGTTTTAAAAGATCAAATACTTGTATTTGGACCTTCTGAATAAGAAGGATGAGTCCATTTAAGTGTATAGCTAGAAAGAGCTAAAAACTGTAAGTGTAGGCGAGATCCAGTCTGTTGGAGCAGGCAAAATACAGCCCACAGGCTAGATATGGCCCACCAGGAACTTTCATCCAGCCCATGAAGCCCACAAACAAATTGTGCCACACTCAGTCTTTCTGCCCACAAGGATGGGAGTGAGGCAACCATGTGTACAGACAACCCCAAACATACCCTGCTGCCTCGTTCCCACCCTCATAGGCGGAAGGGCCCAGCCTGGCCAGCAGGCAGCTTCTGCACTGGGCTGCTACTGCAGCCCCCAGGGACCTGCTCCACCTCCCTGGTCCTCTGGTGGCTCCAGGCAGCAGGTAGGGAAGTAGTGGGGGCAGGGCTGCAGCCTGGGCAGGAGTGTGGGTCTGGGGCTGGAAGCAGCGCAGAGACCATGTCTGGGGAGACGGCACCAGCACGGAGCTTGGGTGGGCAGGGTACGGGTGTGAGGGAGGGTGGGGAGTCTGTGGACTGCCCCCACACTTCCACCATGGTCTGCAGCCCTGGCAGACAGTGGTAATAGCAGCAGCAGCAGCAGGCAGGGTGCTAAAGGTGCACGTGCCTGGCAGGGCACGGCTCTGGCCAGCGCTGCACATAGCAATTAGGGGCACAGCCTACCCTGGGCAGTCTGTATCACCAGCTGTCCCGCCACTCATGCACAGTCCCCACTTGCACAGTACCGAAGGGAAGCCCCACGTGCTGAAGCTGGCTGACTTCCCCGCCGGGGCTGCGCAGTACCAGAGAGAAGCCCCATGCACTGAAGACGGCTGCCTCCCCCTCACCCCCTCACTGCACAGTCCCGGTGGGGAAGGCAGCTGGCTCCAGCATGCAGGACTTCCCTCCCATGCCCGGCAAGTGCAGGGCCTGCACATGAGTGGCAGGGAGCACTGACGATAGGGATGGCTCAGTGGAGGCTACGCTCCTTGTTGTGCCTCGCCAGGCCCCTGCTCCCCGAGCGTCCTGCCTGCTGCTGTTATGCCATGGGAGAAGTGCAGGATGGTCTCCCCACACACCCTCACACCCCACAAACCCACACCCTGACCCCACAACCCCCCAACATACCCTATGCTGCCCCCACACACAGCCACACCCCCTCACAAGCCCCCTCACCCACACATCCTACCACATATGCACCCCTACACCCACACAATATACAAAACTAAGAATTTATTTTTGAGTTATTATGACTGTTAGTGTATGATTTGTCTTTTTTCTGGTTCTAGGATGGCAACCCCTCCTCCCAAAAGGAGTATGTCGGGGGGGGGGGGGCAAGG